CAGCCGGCCGCACAGCAGAGCAGACTTCGAGTACTATTTAATTCTACAGGGTCTCTGCTTTCAGAAAATATAGAATTCTGGTGGGGGTTGTTTAAGTAATTCTCAGGCCTGAAATGTGCATTTTAACATGTGTGCTAGTTAAACTTTCTGTAAGGTTCTTTCCGTGACCATATTGAGGAGAGTTTCTCTCCCTTCTTGTCCCCTGTGCAAGACATGAGTGCATTTATCATCAGGATGGGATCTATCTTCTACAAGCAGTAATACAATAAAGGAAGAGTTCTCCTCTCCCAGAGCGGGGCAGGGGCGTATCTGCCGCGCGGCAAACAAGGCGTTTGCCTCGGGCGGTAGATTCCCAGGAAGCGGCAAAAATGCCGCCCCCCAAAACATTTAGGCAGCCGGTGTTCGATCAAAAGTTCCCGGGCTGCAAAGAAACCGGCAGCCTTGCAGGGAGGAAGTGGCGGGCAGTGGAGCAGGAGGAGACAGGGACGGAGCGGCAGGGGGCGGGGATGGAAGAGGCAGAGTGAAGACGGAGCGGCAGGAAGCAGTGGGCGGACACAGAGGAGATGGGGGCGGAGATCGAAGAGACGGGTGAAGACGGAGGAGGCGGGGGGCCGAAGACTGCAACTGAGGAGGCAAGGGCAGAGACTGGTCCGTGTGGAGGAGGCGGGAAGCGTCGCCTAGGCTCCAGTCGGGGGACGAAGCTGAGACGATTGGGCGCCGGGGCAGTGGAGGAGGCTGGGTTTCCTGTGCCAGGTAGGTGGACTGTGCTGGCAGGGCCCAGCATAGGTTTTGCACAGCACACCAAAGAGTCGCAGGTGGGCTGTGCAATACCTTTTGGTGGGATTTGCAGGAACTGTGGGGGACTTTGCATGATCCTTAGGGGGCTCTGCAGCCTGCAAAGCCCACCACAGAACTTGCACAGCTCCCCTGAGATCCAGCAGACTGCAGGGTTTCAGGGGGTCTCTGCAGGAACTGTGGGGGGCTTTGCATGATCCGTAGGGGGCTCTGCAGCCTGCAAAGCACACCACAGATCTTGCACAGCCCCCCTGAGATGCAGCAGAATGCAGGGGGTCTTTGCAGTAACTGTGGGGTGCTTTGCATGATACGTAGGGGGCTCTGCAGCCTGAAAAGCCCACCACAGATCTTGCACAGCCCCCCTGAGATGCAGCAGACGGCAGGGAGTCTCTGCAGTAACTGTGGGGGGCTTTGCATGATCCGTAGGGGGCTCTGCAGCCTGCAAAGCCCACCACAGATCTTGCACAGCCCCCCTGAGATCCAGCAGACTGCAGGGTCTCAGGGGGTCTCTGCAGGACCTGTGGAGGGCTTTGCTGGGTCTTAGGGGGGCAGAGCCCATTACAGATCCTGCACAGCCCCCCTGAGATCCAGCAGACTGCGGGGGCCACAGGGGGTCTGTGCATGATCTGTGGGGGGCTCTGCAGGGTCTCAGGGGGCTGTTCAGGATCTGTGGTGGGCTCTGCCCCCCTAAGACCCAGCAAAGCCCTCCACAGGTCCTGCAGAGACCCCCTGAGGCCCTGCAATATTTACAATCTATTGTCAATGGTCAGTATGCGCTGTGACTGCTAACTGACCATAGCATTCTTCTTAGAAGAGTTAATAGAAAACTCTACTTTAGGTTGAGGGTCATCCATACCTCTTTATTACATGCAATGTCATTCCACTCTATTAAACACTCTACTACATACAGCAGCTCACAACTCTTCTGCATTCAGTGCCTTATGCTTTTTTACTACATGCAATGGCTTACATTTCTACTACACACAGTGCCTCATGCCCTTCTACTGCACACAGTGCCTCATCCCTTTCTACTGCACACAGTGCCTCATGCATCTCTACTACAACACAGTGTCTCATGTCCTTCTACTGCACACAGTACCTCATGCATCTCTACTACACACACTGCCTCATGCCTTTCTACTGCACACAGTGCCTCTTGCATCTCTACTACACACAGTGCCTCATGCCTTTCTACTGCACAGAGTGCCTCATGAATCTCTACTACACACAGTGCCTCATGCATTTCTACTACACACAGTGTCTCATGCCTTTCTACTGCACACAGTGCCTCATGCATCTCTACTACACACACTCCCTCATGCCTTTCTATTGCACACTGTGCCTCATGCATCTCTACTACACACAGTGCCTCATGCCTCTCTACTACACACAGTGCCCCATGCCTTTCTACTGCACAGAGTGCCTCATGCATCTCTACTACACACAGTGCCTCATGTATTTCTACAGCACAGAGTGCTTCATGCATCTCTGCTATACACAGTCCCTCATGCATCTCTACTACACACAGTGCCTCATGCATCTCTACTACACACAGTACCTCATACATCTCTACTACACACAGTGCCTCATGCCTTTCTACTGCGCAGAGTGCTTCATGCATCTCTACTATACACAGTGCCTCATGCATCTCTACTACACACAGTGCCTCATGCATCTCTACTACACACAGTGCCTCGTGCCTTTCGACTTCACAGAGTGCTTCATGCATCTCTATTACACACAATTATTCATGCCTGTCTACTACACACAGTACCCTAACCCTCTGTGTATCATGCAGTGCCTGATGGCTATCTATTACATGCAGTGTCTCACCTCTCTTTATTACAGCAAGGGTTTCATTGATAAAACAGCAGTAAGGCCTTACCCCAATGATATAATTGCAGAAAGCTGAACATTAGCATGAATTAATTTTAGCATTGTTGGATTACATATATTACTGGTTTATCCACTGTCCTTTTCTGCACGATTAATTACAGCACTACTTAGATATTATGTAATTAAGCTCTACCCTAATCATATTTCCTTCAGGGAACTTGGAACCTCTGCCTGCTGTATGTATGGAATAGGGACGGGTCCGCTCAATGCCCCCATGTAGTATTTGCATCAACAAACACCTCCTCTTTCTCACTATGTCTGCTGTGGGAGCTGTGGCAGCTTGTTGCTGTATGAAAAGGCTGACTCCTGACAGAACACTAAAAATGTACAAGAGCTGCCTGTTTGGGGAACCCATTAGGAGGCACCCTGTTAGTCATTAGCAGTTTAGGTGAGATAATCTACTGCTTTATTGGCAGTGTTACCAGCTGACTCATACAAGAGTAGGCAGCTCACTCCATGGTCTTACAAACTATCTAATATATCTGGGTACTCAGTTTAACAGGTTGAATTCAATTGCCATATCCGTCAATCCAATGCTAGATAAATACATCATGTTATGGTATGTGTTTAAATTCATCACTTTTTATCAATGTTTATTTCTTCTGCCTATTTCAGATAACAATGGCGGCTAACATATCACCAGGATCAGTGCACATATCATCACCATCAAACATAAATGGAGCACAGAGCGGTGAACCAGTGGACTGGGCACAGCGACGTGATTTGAGCAAATTAAAGGACAGAATCATTTCAATGGCTCCAAAACAGATGATGTCTTATCCAAACTCTCTAGTATTTACCCATGACACAAAGGCACGGGTAAACACCAGAAAAAGACAACAGGCTGTTAGACTTGAACCACTGGTAAGCTGGAATAAGAACAATATATTTTATGTAATTGTTGACAGATTTATATTTTTAAATTGCACAAATGATATATATAATGATAAATAATTATATATATCCCTGACCATTTCCTGACTTGCGCTTTTATTATACTGGTTACAGTCCTGTTTAGTGGTGAACAAAGTCGTCAAAGGACCCCTATGGGAGAACAATTTTGCCCCCACCCCCCCTTATTTAACTACTTTCTTTTTCACAGGAGAGAGAGATTCTCTGAACTCTCTAAGGTTTTATAATAAAAAAACAACTAGCAAACCAGCTCTTCCTTCTAGTGCAAATGGTGTCAATATGGGAGAAGCATTCTCCATGCCTCAGTGTTGTCTGTCAGGGAATGAAGATGGTGCTCACTGGCCTACACCAGTTGGATAATGCAAATCACGAGCACTGATGGATCATTATAAAAAAAATTCCCTTCTCACTAGGAAAATTTTGTAAACCGAAAAATAAACATTTTGTCAGGCTGAAACCGAAAATTACTTTTTTTTCCCAACCTTTTTACATTTTCTAAAATTATTTTTTAAATGTTTTTTTCTTTTTTTATTATTATTTATTATTATTATTATTTTTGCTTTACTGTTAGGGACTTTGGGGAAATATCCCCAAGTCCTCATTCTCTCTTTCTGCAGCCCGTCTTATGAATGAACAGGAAACCTCTATACTGAGTGTTCCTGTCCATTCATAAGCTGTGAAAATAATATGAGTTATTTTGTCCACAATCATGAATGAACAGGAAGTGATGTATAGCACCACCTCTTCACTCATAAGTGGGGATACAATTACTGTCACAGGAAACTGAGCGGGGGAGTACGGGAGGAGAGCTCGGCCTCCTGTGACAGCTGACAGCTGTCTGCTCCCACACCACCACGTTCGGCCTCCTGAAAGCTTCTCTCCTCCCCGTTGGGTGCCGGCAGCTGGATCCTCTGTGTCCCCTCGGATCCCCACTGTCTCTGCTGACGCAGGAGGGTTAGAGCTGCGGGCATCAGAGAGAACACAGGCTGGCACCCAGTGGGGAGAAGAGAAGCTGTCAGGATGCAATGAATTTTCAGCTGGTTTTTTTGGCTGTTATGGTACTATCGGCATTTTGCCCGTAGTACCATTTTCAGCCGACATTTCGGTGTATCTCTACTTCTCACCTGTCCTAGAAGTTAGAAGTGTCCAACAAGCAAGACAACAAGAGGGGTTTCAGCACTGGCTTGACTTGTCTTTACTGTAAATGGGCTCCTGAATTCCAGAGGTCCCCTGAGAGCAGGAGGGGTTTAAGCACCTGCTGGACCTGCATCTGCTCTAATGGACTCCTGGATTCCAGAGGTCCCTTGACAGCAGGTGAGTTTCCAACACCTGCCTGACCTGCATCAATTGACCCTCAAGGTGTCCCTTCACAGCTTTTAGGGGCTCCAACACCTGCCTGACACGCATCTACTATAAAAGTACAGTAATACCTTGGTTTACAAGTAACTTGGTTTGAGAGCGTTTTGCAAGACAAGCAAACATTTCTGAAAAATTTTGCTTTGATATACAAGCAAATGTCTTGCAAGAAGAGCAACATTTTGTAGAAAAGCACCACCTGAATAAGGCTGTAGCAGTGCGAGCGATGAGTCTGTTTAACGACAATGCAATGTCACATTGGATAGATTCCTTGTTAAGGTTTCACAAAATGAAAAAGATTCCATTGAGTCAAGAGATAGCAGTGATTCCGTTACTGATAGTGAAAGTCGTCCTACGCAATAATCCTCCTCTCTCTTGTCCCTCTCACACCGGCCACAAAAGGTACCGGTAATTGGTTAATTTTTCTTTATATTTTATACGTTATTATATTACAGTACAGTATTGTAATCATTTTATATGAATATTTTTGGGATGTGGAACGAATCATCTGAATTTCCATTATTTCCTATGGGGAAATTCGCTTTGATATACAAGCGCTTTGGATTACAAGCATGCTTCCGGAACGAATTATGCTCGTAAACCAAGGTATCACTGTATGTATAAATTGTTTACAATTAATCCCATTACAAAGACATTACTCAAGTATCCCATTTCATGTCAGAGCTCCTGCCTGGAAGTACAACTAAAAGCTCCTGTATGACAGTCTAAACAAGTGCCAAATCCAGTTACTAGGCGATGCACAAGCCTCACAGTGTAAACAGTAAACTTCCTTTACTTGCCGTGGCTGAGCCAAATCTACCTTCATTTGTGTCTCACATTCCAGACACTGCAGCTCATGGTGGGAGGGTATCAACAACAGAGGCAGTGCTGCCAATCCAGAAAGTAATGGGCAGGACAAGGTGATTGACAAGCTACAGGCAATTACATCGCTGATAGCCACATCCCCTGCATTTTTTCACCCCCATTGTAGTGCAAACAGGCACAGCTTACATGAGAATGGCAACTCTGCTCTGAATTCAGGAGCAGTGTAGCGTTGTTGCTTCCCCATCACAGGAATCTGCATTATGTGAACTTGACTTAATCACGTATTGGTTGGACTTTGCAGCATGTATTGCTGCAGCACATAGTTTTACTGTTAAAATATGAAACATATGAACCCTATTACCCTGCAATTCCACCGTGTATGGTATGGGGTCATATTCTCTAGTCGTTTGATGTTATCTCATTTGCCCCTCCTCTCCTTCCTTCACTAGCCCTCTTTTACCCCAGGAATGGAGTCCCCCTCTGCCTTTTGAAATTGGGAGGCAGTAGGCATAACCCAAATCTATAAACTCATCACTCTCACAAGCTTTAAAACGTTTCCACAACTACGCTCCTCCTACTGCCTACCGGCATCTGAAACCTTTCGACACCTGCAGATAAAAGATTTAGTCACGTCCATGATTTACCTCCCTAGTGATTGTCCTCTGTTGACTCAATTTGAAACTAAATGCAGGGATGATCCCCTCTCACCAGGCTTGGTCTCGCTCTTATATGCTGCTCTCCTTTCAACTGGAGCTCCCTCTCTATATAGCGACATGAGAAGTTGGGCAGCTGACTTGGGGGCAACACTGGACGAATAGGTCTGGCACCAAATTTGGGCAATTACTAAATCATGCTCTCGTAATTCCACTGCAGTGGAAACTAACTATAAGGTCCTGTTCCGATGGTACATTGTGCCCAGTCGCTTAGCTCATACCAAACCGCCTTACTCTTTTCACAGCTACTTGGCACATGGCAACTATTTTCACACTCCAATTACCCAGAGCTTTTGTGAACGATCTGATTAGTACTCTTATGCAGATGCACATCACTCTGACGCCCAGTGAAGCTTTGCTGAACGTCAGACCGAACGATCTTTCCAAATATCAATTTACACTACTAACGCACGTGCTTATAGCAGCGAAACAGGTAATAGCCAGCGCCTGGCTTTCTGATAGTTTGTGTATCTCAGCAGTCAAAAATAGGCTCCATTGGCTTATGATTAGCGAGAAGCTGACGGCTAAATTACTTGGTAGTTTACCCAAATTCCGCAAAGTTTGGGACCCGTGGGTCTCTAATTTTCTACCTCCTAATTTTGATAGAACTTTATTGGAAACCTAAATACTAGATCTTCTCTTTGGGTAGTATGTTTCAATTATCCGCGCTCCCCTCGGCCATCTCTCTTTCTCCCTCCCCCTTCCCTCTCCGACTTGCCCTTGACTTCCTCCGATCCTTCTTTCTTTCCTTCCTCTATTCTCTTTTGCTCTTCTTTCACTACCTCTCCCCATACATTGGTTCTATCCAGTCTATTTTGGCAGATTGACAAACAAACTTAAGCAACCATAGACTGCTATTAATGGTTAACTCAGATGCATGTATCTGCTATCTTTTACCGTTGATGTACTTGCTGTACCAGTGTCTATGACGAATTTCTTACTGCTTTATACGTAAATTGTAGCCTGTAAAATGCTGCAGTTACTTGTGTTATATCTTTATAAACCAATAAAAATTTATTGAGCAAAAAAAAGTGAAACATGTGTATGCTAACTGTATGCGAGAACAATGATTGGAAAACCCAGTAAACAGTTAACTCTTTTTTTTCAAAGCTTTCAAAGCAAAATTATTGAACTTAGAACTTAGAATACAAGAACTTAGTGGCATAATGACATACAATGAATATCAACCTGGATTTCCTGGGCTTGTAAAAAAACCTTTGGCATGCACCTTAATATTTTAATTCGGTCATATTTTAATTTTTTTATAGTTTTTTTCAACAATTTCTGCAGTCGGAAGGAATAGTGTTGCAATCCTAACCTCTGTCCTAACAACATTTTCATGGTATTGCTTTTCTGAATACCGTATTTGTCATCCAGGTTTTGCAATGCAAACATTTTTCAAACAAAGCAAGAACTGTATATAATCTCGTTGTCATTGCTCAAAATTGCAGCAACCATAAAAATTCAATACATACTTCATCCTCATCTCATTTTGCAACATGATCTAGTCTATAAGTAATTAACCAGTCTTGCTCAATTAGTTGGTCACATTCAGCCCCTACTGATTGTTTGCTCTGGGGTGGGGGCAAGGTCATGCTAATCTGTATTTTCTGATAATGATGTTTCCTCAATTTAACTATGGGAGGACAGAAGAGTAGAGAACAGAATTCCTTAATATAAAATATGAATGGCTCTGATATGGTAGAGTTGTGCATTAGGTATTTTTTTTTTAATTCTATTTCTTGTGAGCTATATAAAATAACAGTACACCTTCCCCAGGGTCCAGACACGCAGAGAAGGCCTGTGGGGTAAATGTACAATACCAGGTTTCCTTCAAGCTGGGAGGATCAGAAGGGGTACACATTAAAGTGACATTAAAATCAAACTGTTTTTCCCCCCTTCCCAATCCTGCTGTAGGGACTTACCTTAAATGATGTCTCTTAATCCGATCTTCTTTCCTGTAGTTTTTAGCTGTCCCTCCAGCGCTGGTGTGGGTCTCTGATCCAGCACTGACTCCTCTGTCCTTCTCTTCACTCATGTCCCACGGAGTCTGTGCGGGTGCACGCTGCTCCATATACTTATATACTCCATATACTTACCTTGTGTCTCTCCTTGTCTCCCGGCCGAACATCTGAACTGCACATGCACCCGCCCCAAGATCCTTTGCGGCCGCCCGATACATTTTCAGATGATCGGACGGGAGCGAGCGGCGGAGACTGCTTGCTAGCAGTCGATATATGCAAAAACATGCTGTCTGGAGACGGCAACCCGCAGATGTAGCAGTGCCGTCCGTCCGTTTTTTTAGTACGGGCGGACGGCAAGAGGTTAATAACCCTTTAAGATAAACCAGTGGATCTCAACCTGTATAACTTTAAGACCCACATTTGTCTTTGGTCATTAAGTCGTGGCATAAGTTGCACCCAACTGGAACGCACGGCATTGCGGTACCGCATGTTCCGGTGCAAGTGATCAAACTGTGGGCGGGAGTTGTGTTTTGCATGCCATTCAAATTAATGGCAACGCAGCTGACCCCCGCACCAGCTCCCATGCGGCCATACCTCCAGCCTACCCCACCTCAAGATGAAACTTGGCACCAGGTGGCATATTTAGAATGTCTGCTCGGCGCGAGAACTGACAATGCTGGGCTATGGGGAGGGTTAGGAGCCTCACCTATTTCAGTGGAAGGCATGCGGCGACCCACTGAACATGGGTAAAGCAAAACAAACGACAAACGCACTCAACAATTTGTTACCAGTTATACAGTAAGGTGCACACGAAATGGGCTTTGAACAGTAGAACAGTAGAAAGGCATCATGGCACACTCACACACTAGCATGTAAAACAACTTGTCTCACCACTAAGGACAATGACAGAGGTTTGGATACACGTCTTCTGCAAAGGATGTGTAAGCCCGCACCCAATTTTATCTTTTGCCCAATGTGCTCCAAGATGGAGACTCTCATAGTTTAGAGTTAGGACCGCACTATAAGAGGTGCCTTGGCGCGGCAGTGCGGCTTACACATCCTTTGCAGAAGACGTGTATCCAAACCTCTGTCATTGTCCTTAGTGGTGAGACAAGTTGTTTTTCTACTGTTCCACTGAACATGGGGTCGCAACCCACTTTTGGGCCACTACCCACCAGTTGAGAATCCAACATATATCAGATAACCCAACATATATCAGAAGGGGAGGAGGAGAGAGAGAAGGGCTAGGAGGTTTATGGAAGAAAAAAGTGGGGTAGGGGGAGAGAAGAGGGGTAGGGAGAGGGAAATAAGTAGGGAGAGGGGTAAGGGGAAAATAACAAAGGTTAAACCAGCTTATGTTATATTATATTTTACATCAGTGCCAATTTAGTGACCAGAGTACAGAAGGGTGTTCAGTATTTAAACAGTATTGGGTATGCTAAAGACAGAACATCTATTTATTTTTGAAAAGGTCATGTTTGGCTGAGATGCAAATGTGATTTCCCCTCACAGCCGCTGCGGAGCTGTCTCAGTGACAGCCAGCAGCTGCGGCAGAAGAGGCCGGCGTTCGCAGTAAAGGAGGAGGCAGGGCCCGCCTAAGAGTAACCCCACCTCCTCTTACATCACTGGCCAGCGACCTAAGAGCAGGGCGGGGCCCGTCGATAGAAGAGGAGGCGGGGACGGAAGAGGAGGCGGGGCCCGGTGACCACGGAGGCGGACAGCGCTGACAGGTAAGAGGTGTGCAGCCCATCTGGGACACTGCAGAGCCCGCTATAGAGAGTCTATGGTGGGCTCTGCAGGGTCACTCTCAGGTGGGCTGTTTGGTATATCAGGTGGGCTCTGCAAGTGACATAACTAGCAATCACGGGACCCCATAAAAAATTTTGCTATGGGGCCCTGTGATTTCTATTTACGCCCCTGGTAGCATCCTATGGCCCTAATGGTAGAAATATAATTACACTGACTGTATACTTTAATTGCATCCCAAGCTATGTCTGGGGTTGTGGTATTGTTGTTGAGATCCCAATATTCCTCCAGGTGCTAGATTGTATACTGTGGGCTTATTTCATTACTTTTAGTGGAGAGTGGTTTTAAAGGCCAGTGGGTAGATAGCAAGTTGCAGTAACATCAGGCAGTAGAGTTGGGTTGGCAAAAGCCTGATGTATAAGAGAAGCCATCTTGTATGTGGAAGAATAACAAGAGCCTATTTCCCATGGGGTATTTCCTCCTGCAGATCCTAGTAAGGGTGGCAGTGTAGGCCTACATGGAGAGCTTTGTAGAAGTGGTTTTGGAAGGGTTAGATCTAGCTAGGTCAGGGGACAGTAGAGCATTGAAATCTGCCATAAACAAAATTTTGATGGCACAGTAAATAGATATTTTGTCATACACAGCATTTGAGAGTTCTGGACAAGCGGGTGGAGGAACGTAAACATTCACTAAGACATATTTATGGGACTAAATTGTGAGGATCATCATTGCATATTTGTCACTTAGATCCATCTAGTGGCCATAAAACAGTATTACATCATATTCGACCAGAAAAATTAATATACTAACAGGACTATTCACAAAAGTGTGAAGAGTTTGGAGAGGGCAGGAGAAATGAATAATCTAGGCCAAAATAGCTGATTCGGAAACATTCTCCAATTCAGCTCACTTTCCAGTTCAGCTATGTTGTCCTAGATTGTTCACTTATCCTACCTTCTCCAAACTCTTCACCCTTTTGTGAATAGTCCTGTAAGAACGTTCTTTATTGCCTCTATTCGCACAGCACAAGCATTCACAGAGATTTGCGGGGAGAATGGATCTCTAAATTGTTTATAAATAGACCCATTAGTGTCAGAATTGCCCACAAGGACAAAATAAATGCAAGTGGGCATTATCTATTGTTGACCGTTTGGTAAATGATCTTGCAGGTTAGCAACTAGTGTGAAAGTATCAAATACAGAATGCCGTAGGTGTGTTTTCACAATGTGAACAAGGCCAATAATTTACCAGTGTTAGGCTTGCTTAGGTTTGCTTGTGTAGTGCTCACCCGCCAGAATAACCCGAGTCATTACTAGTGTGTGTAGGTGTTTTAGCATTCAACTGCCCCATTAGCATTAACCGCCCTCTTCTAGTGCCCACAAAGCTGATATCCAAGCCAGAAGTATAATGCTGAAGAACCTTTATTAAACATCTTCACACTGGGGAGAGAGGGTATAGGGATCCTAGACATCCAGGGCATAACAGACATAGACTCCAGACTCACCAGTCCAACTCAGTACTTCAGTGTAGATCCATTTGTAGCATAATTGAATAGGTATTTGAGCTGCAAATGAGCACGGATGAGCACTAATCCTCAGCAGGAGAGACACTAGACTTGCTCCTGAGGTCCACTATGTTTTGGGCACCTCCAGTAACCATCAGCTTTCCTGGTTCTTCTCCTCTGACAAAAGCACAGGCTTCCTCCAATACTTTAGGCCTAGCGAAACACTTCCCGCACTCCAGTATGCGCACCGCCAGTCCTCAGGCCTATCCTGGGGAGCAGCCTGGACAACATCCCAACCTGGACAAATCCATGTAGTGATTGCCAGTCTTGTGCCAAATCTTGGCACAAGACTGGCAATCACTACATTTCTAGTAGCCACCTCACAGAAGGTGATGGGGGCTACACTTGCTTAGGTTATCTTTGCAAAAATGCAGTCTGGTGATGTCTTTTGGCAGATTGGCACTGGTACCATGATGACTAGAAGATTTTTAGATGCAAAAATCCCCTAGTGTTTTTATCTAGCCCTGTACAGTATGTGAGATACAGATTATGCTCAGAGCATACGACCATGCTACAGCAGAAGTCTCTGGCTCTCCTAGATATAAGGGATGCTGAATTACAAAAAATTGTTAGCAAACAACACTATCCCTACCCAAAAAAGTCTACCATCTCTACAACACATGAAATTGCAGCTGTTCTTACTTTAATACTTTTATTTGGGGGTGCCCCCATTCATTTAAAGGAGAACTATGAGGTTAAGGCTTTTCCCCATAGTTCTCCTAAAGGTAACGGGAGGACACAAACTAGCGTCCTCCCGTCACCCTAGGCTCAGTATACTGCGAGCTGTAGCTCGCGGTATACTGAGACGCCGCAGTATACCGCGAGCTGCTGCCGCAGCTGAGATGCCGCAGCTGAAGCGGATCCCGACTATTATGCCGGGATCCGCCCAGCTGCGTGACTGACAGCTGGCTCTGCCTATCTAGAGACAGAGCCAGGTGTACCCCCCCTCCCCGGGAGCGGGGAGGGGGGAATCCAGCCCCTCCCCTGTCACGGCAGAGAGCCGTGACAGGATCGAGAGGTGAGCGAACGCCGGTATGTGTTCGCTCACCTCCCGATCTACTGAGCCGACCTGTGACAGTCTCATTGTCACAGGTCAGCTAGAACTATGAGGTGAGTGAAAAGCACTCACCTCATAGTTCTCCTTTAAGATTACTGATTGGTTTCTCTGGAAACAGCAGGAAATATGTAGCCTAGCTAAGAAGGAATACTAGGGTTGATGGAAAGTCCACCACCATAACAAAACCATAAACATGGCAGCAAAATGGCACAAACTGCAGTGCATTGGACCACAAACGCCACCAATTATGTGTCTCATGCAAATTGGTTTGATCCACCGCAAATTCTGCTTTGATCATACCAAATTTTGAAACAGTATCATCATGCTTTTACATCTATCTCTTCTCTGAGACTACTAGTTTTCTAGTTTTATGGTATTGTGCATCAAAGCTCTGGATAACAAGATAGGTTGGTCACGTTGGTGGCCAAGGTCGTCTTTTCTCCATCCACAAGCTTAACTTGTCTTCAGATTCCTACTCCTAGTAGAATACAGATCTGATACCAACATTACCTTCTGGAAACACTTAACAATTGATTTATTTTAAATTATGTACTGTTATGTATCAGTCTAAAAGTTTATTATATTTCAATGCTGTTTTACAATTTGTAAATTGCATTTGATTTTTTCCTTGTTCCCTGAAGCCTGTTTTAAAAGTGTATCAGGATCACCATCAGCCTGAATACATATATCAGAAGAACGCAGAAGATTTGATAAATCGAGGTGTACTTTTACGGCCACCTTCTGCAGAGAAAAGACTGCAAGCTGTCTCATCCCCTGTACGACTGCCTGAACTTCCAGATGATTTAAAGGAAAAGCAGGTAAGGCTGAACATTTTATTCTATTGTCATTTCTGCTATGCATGTATACAAATTATTTTTCTTTTCTGGGTTATTTGCTAGTATTACATAACAAGATATCATATATAATATATGGGACCAATTGCAGAAAAAACATATGAATAAATTATGGAAGGATTAGCAGTGCAATTATTAGCAAGCAATGGAAGGAACTACGGATGCACTGATATATCAGCCGCCGAAACATATCGGCCGAAAATTGCACTTTTGGCAGAATGCCGAAAGTGCAATTTTCTGGCCGATATGGCGGTGCATCCATTCTTTTCTCCTACCCGCTGGGCGCTGCTCTGTGTCCCTGTCACAGGGGGCCGAGTGCTGCGGGAGGAGAGCGCTGTGAGCGGCCGGCATCTCTCCTCCCCGCACCGCTCAGCCTCCTGTGAGAGGAGAGCAGTGTGGGCGGAGACAGCCAAGACTGTCACAGGAGGCTGAGGTCCACTCACTCGGCCTCCTGTGACTGAGGCTGAGGTCCACTCGCTCAGCCTCCTGTGACAGCTGTCATGAAAGAGAACGAGTGCAAAAACTCAGTAATCGTGATCGCGTTTGTACATAATTGAGGACATGGTATGTTGACTATATCCTCAATTATGAATGAATAGGAAGTGATCTACATCACCTCCTGTTCATTCATGATTGTGGTTATAGTAAACACACTATGTCCTCACGTTATGAATGAACAGGGACACTCAGAGGATTCCTGTTCATTGATAACTGGGGATGCAGAAAAAGAGACTGAGGACTTTGTGTCCTCGATCTCTTTTTCTATTTTAAAAGGGAAATATCAGGGGTCTATTTAGACCCCTAATATTTCCCTAAAGCCCTTAAAAGTAAACTAAAAAATAAAAATATTTAATTAAAAAAAAAAATTGAAATAAATATAAAAAAAAAAAGTTTATAAAAAATAAATAAAAATAAAATATTTAAAAAAAGTTAAAATAAAAAACATTTTTGGTTTCGGTTTTGGCCTGACATTTTTTATTTCGGTTTCGTTTTGGTTTTGACATTTTCATTTCGGTGCACCTCTAGAAAGAACCATGGTGTCCCCATGTGGGACACACTATCTGTTGGAAGTATTGGACTGTAGCAGCAGTTCAACTTCTGCAAGAGAACAAAGAATGGTTTTCATATTCATTCACCTCTATTACAGCATGCAGCTGCCTGATTTTTTGGTAGAAAAGAGTTAGGGTAACTCTAATGTTTAATTGAATGGAATGCCAGTAGTATGGTGCAGTTTACATGGCATTGCAATACACACGGCACTGGTAGACACCACACAAGTACTGCCACTAGATGGGGCAGAGGAACATAGGAATTTCTTGTGTTCTTCTGCGCCATCTAGTGGCAGTGGTGTCATGCGAACAGCATTTGCTCAGCAATACGCTGGACAGAAGATTTATAAACCAGCCTCCAAATGTAGAAGCTAATAAGACCCTCACATGCCAAGTGTCTTTGCATTAAGAAATTGAGTTATTCCAGCTGAGCAGGAGTATGAGTTTTCCCAACTGCTGTCTTTAATTTCTTGCACTTTAAAAGTAGCCAGTGCAGTTTTTGACATAGTAATTTTGAGAGGAGTCAAAAGACCTGGCCACCCACAGCTTAAATTATAGCTGATTTCTGCCAAGTTGGCCAAAATTTGAGCTGTGGGTGGTCCTGCCAGCACCACCCGGTTCAACAAAAGTAAAACATTTTAAGAAGCTGGGTGGACAATTATCCGAATAGTGAACACACCCAATCAGATGCACATGCTGTTTGGGATTCAGCAGCTGCGGGAGTATTGACTGCTGAATACAATAATCAGCAACAGGGATTCCTCTATCCACTCTATAGATGAGGGAATCTAATGATTTCTATCCTATGTGGATGAGAGAATCTAATGATTGATTAAGAGGAATCGAACAGTGTGTAGCTAGCCTTATTAAAATACCAGAAACATTAAACCGTTTTCCTTTCCTATTTGTTGGTTTGTACAGTTAAAAAGTGGTGTGATTATAAAGATGCAGCATGCTGCCTCCAATGGCAAATTATAACGGTAGATTTTACTAAAGTAAATATGGTACATAAGTTGGAGAAAGCCAGGTAACTAGCATTTCCCTTGCTGTGTTTACTTGAGCCAGCCAGGAGTGTATAGGCCTGGATCATATTTTTATAAACATTTAGAAAAATCACAGTACATTGAGAGTGATCCTGTCAAGGCCGAGTAATTTGGGATATACATTTTAACAATACAGTGTTCAAATGTTTAATTTGTATACCTTCACAGTGAGGGATAATTTAGATACCAGTCTGCACATCTGCGTCACAATTATCACAGCCTAGCCCTAGGTGTAAAGTTCCCACTTACAATCCAGACCGAGGTGTGTAATTCAATTTCTGAAGTTCAGGAAAATGTTATAACTCATAACTCCTATCCCATGCAGTGCATAATCATAAAACGTTCTGCAAAAGCTTGGTTGCACAGAGAAGTTGTTAGACTCCAAAGGTGCCAGCAGTAAAATATGGTAGAATGATTAATGCTTGGGTCTTTTTTCTTTGGTACTGATTCTACTAGGCATAAAGCATCAGAGTGTGGTCTCTACGCAGAACAGAACAAGAGCTGAGACCATCACTTTTTTTATAATTAATACTAATTTATACTAATTAATTACCTAGCATGGGTTTATAAAGATTATGATCACCAAATCCTACCTGTGCTAATTAGAAACATGCAGCATCAAGCCCCTTCAATCCATATGGACAGGTTGAGAGGAGTCAACTCATCTCTAAAGTATAAATTTGAGATCTGCATTTGAATCTGGGACATATCTAAGGGGTTCCATCAATGCTGGAGGTATGGTCCACGTATGTTCCAGACCAACCCACGGAGCAGGAGAAATACTTTTTCTGTAAATTGAATCCGTTTTATTTTCAGTACTGTTTGTTTAAATTTGTCCTTTTTTTTTAACTTTTCTTTTTATATCTTTCTATGCACTTTCTATCTTTCTATGCACTGCCTGCCTCGTGTTATTAAATATAAAATGAATACGTTCTTACCATCTTGTCTTGAATTGTATTGTGATTGTAATGTCTGCCCTATATTGTAAAGCGCTGCGCAAACTGACTTTCGTTGTGCGATGGTTGTAAGGTGATTAAAATTTCGTATGATCTGCACATCTTGAACAGGCAGATCGTACTCGTGATCATTGCAAGCCCTCCCCGCTGAGGGGAGGGCTTCCGATGATTGCAGTGCAGAGCGGGCAGTGTGCGGCATTCGTCTTCCGACCACGCCATCGACCCGCCGAAAATCGTACGATTTTCCGCAGGTTTTCCAGCGTGCTCGGAAGGCGAAAGTCGTGCGTCCTTACAGTAGAAGCGGTCCCACGCTGCCCATACACCTGCCGATTATCGTACGATCGTGGGATAATCGGCAGGTGTATGGGCACCTTAAATGCAGTGGTTGGCCAATCTGACAGCATGCAGATTAGTACCAGTGAAAAAACTGTGGGGGGAATTTATCAAAACTGGAGCAGACAGAATTTGGTGCATTTGCTCATAGTAACCATTAAGCTTCTTTCTTCAGTTTGTTCAGTTAAGCTTTGAAAATGAAAGAGAGAAGCTGATTGGTTGCCATGCACAGCTGCTCCAGATTCTGTCTGCTCCAGTTTCTTTTTTCCAGTAATTTATAACTGTGTGTTGTCTGTGAAAGCCTGTGTGTTTGAGCACAAAGTGTACTGACTGGAGGTGTCAGGAACAAGATGAATGGTGGCAGCTTGGATTATATTATTGCATGCGTGTTGTTTATGGTCGTTTCATATGTCTGGATTGGGGAATTTTGGGTTCTCATTAGGGATGCACCGATACCGGTTTTGTATCAAGTACGAGTATTTAGTATTTTGCTTTCGGTACTCGCCGATACAGAGTACTGATACCGGTGCTTCCGCTGGCATGGAGTTGGCTTCCCAAGCAATCAGGAAGCCGGACGGCAGGTAATGACATGGTGCCCGGCTTCCTGATTGCCCGGGAAGCCGGCTCCATGTTGTTTGGCCGGCATGATTGCAATTGGCCCAGAAACTGACTTCCCAGCCAATCAGCATGAAGCAGGCTTGCTCTTGCAATCAGGAAGCCAGGAGGCGGGTCATTACTCGCCGCCCAGCTTCCTGATCGCACGGGAAGCTGGCTTCATGTTCCCCTGCAGCACGAACGGTCAGAGGAAATGTCCCTCTGACCGGAAGATCTGGTATTGGGGAAGGTATTGGAGCATTTTGGCGAGTACGAGTACTCGCCCAAATACTGGGTATGGGTGCATTCCTAGGTCTCATGATAATTTTCTAGCATTCTGGTAAATTTTTTAAGATGCATGATAGACGGCAATACCTTGTGCATTGACTTACCTCCCTCATCCCTGTGCCCACTAGACATGTGCACTGCCAAAAAATTCGGTGTGAAAGTCAATTCGAATTCGGACGAAATTCGGTAGCGGTAGTTCGAACGTTCGTTTCGTTTTCTGTTCCTATTAGTTTCTTATTCGTTTCTTATTCGTTTCGTTCGTTCGTTTGCAGCAAAATGACATTTGAGGAGGGAAAAATATTTTTCTCCTTCTCTAATATCACTTTGCTCCAACGAACGAAACGAATACGAAACGAATAAGAACAGAAAACGAAACGAACGTTCGAACTACCGCTACCGAATTTCAGAAATGGAAATTCGGATTCGTTTGCATTCGTTATGTCTGTAATTCGGAATTCGGATACATCCGAATTTCCGAAAATTCGTCGCACATATCTAGTGCCCACAGTACCCCTGTCTGCGACAATAGTATTGGCTGCTTGCTTTCGCTTGCTACTATGTACCGATTTCTTTGCTTGGATTTCCATCAATATATGTTCTTACATATTTGTTTTCTCTCATTACTCTTTAGTTACAGCTTGACTTCAGCAGAACAGTGTCTCCTACACCTCCAAAGCAGCCAAGGACATCTGCTTCAAGACCTGGGTCATATAAACGAATACCTTCTCCACCATCTACAGTGTTTGATACTGCAGAAGATGTCATCAGGGCTAATGTTAAAGATCCTCTGCAGATCATCAATATACTGTTAGAAAATAAAAAATTAGGCTTCCTTTACATGACTCCTGCTGTGCCTAAGTCGTCAATTGAAAATGATCCATATAATCTAAGGTATGCCATTAAAAGCTAACTAAACCAAGCATCTGAAGAATGTCCCGAATGGCAATATAAATCTCTTAAAGTGGAACTCTAGGTAGCAGGTTTGCTGTTTTCATTGTATTCTGACAGTGATGCATGTTTACCGACCCCTGGAAGAGATCAGGTGGCTTTATAGCTGCCAAAATTGCTTCTAGTGTAAAGCCCACAGTTCTCTGAATGGCAGCATTTTCCAATGAGTGACTGCCTGTACTCAGTGTGCAGAGGGGAAGCTGCTAAACCCGCAGCTGGTGTATCACAGCTATCACTGTATGTAGCGTGAACTACTACAGCGATTTTCAGAAACCCTGGGAGCCCTCCAGATATCTGATATGCAAACTTTAAGCGAGCCAGGCTGGACCCATGCAAGTTTGCAAAACATTTACTTCCTGGAGTTCCACTTTAACTACCTTGGGCTCTCAGCAACAATATCAACTCAAGGTGGGATTCAGTAGTCACACAACTACAATATATGTTTGATCTGTGTGTTGTATGTATGACTAGTGTTGCTAGTAGGGATGTCCAGATACCAGTTCAGATACCAGTGCGGATACTTGGCATTTTCATGAGAACTACCAGGGTTGCAGAGTTTGCAGCTGGGACCTGGCTCTGGCGTTCCACCGCTGTCCTGAAATCATTAGTCTGTATTGTTTTAGAAAAACTGTCACATGACAATAAACAAAAATGTATCAGTACTTGTGTCTGTGAGTACTTGGGCAAGTATCAGTACTTGCACAAATTGTATCAGTGCATCACTTATATACAGAGTATACATATTTATTTAAAAAAAAAACCCATTAAAACAGGGATGCACAAATCCCAGGAGCTTCGTATGCTCTTTAAAATGACAACTGCCTCCTAGCTTAAAATTTTCTCTAAAAAATTTATTTCTATTTATAAAAAAACGAAATGCAATAAAATGGGGATGTACAGATCCCAGGAGCTCTGTGTGCTCCTTAACAATGACAGATGCCTCTTAACTTTTTTCTAATATTAACTGAGGCTATGCATCTCATATTCTATGCCCCGTTGGGGCGGCACATATACTGTATATAAACCATTAGTTTAAAATGTATATAGTTTTATAAAAAAAAAGGAAATTGGCACAAAGCCAATATAGTTTCCTATTCTCCTTTACAATATTCTTTCACCGCCCACCCCTTCCCCATGATACTTATGGTACTTTTGTAGTTTAGTTTGACAATCCTAAGCAACAGCATTTTATTATAGATTGGGACAGGTTTAGAAGCTCCCATGATGGGTGTTACATGTAAAAGATGGGATGATAGAAAAATGCAGAGAGGAACAAATCCAAATATACATGATGACGTTTCCCTATACTACCCAAAACTAAAATAACATTTTGGGCTTTTACATTTGGAAAAAGTCCTTTATAGATCAAGGAAATCTTTGATCCAAGTCTCTTCCCTTTATTCTTCTGCTCATGTGGGTTTCTGTCATTCGCCTTTACTCCGTCATTCGTTTTCTTCCTGCTAGTTCTGATTTTTCTTTGCCTCCCTTTACTCGCTTTTCTTCTGTACCTTTTGTTTTATGATTTTGGTTCCACATTCAAGGCGTTTATCTTCTCTGGAAGCTCACATTAGATAGCATATAAGCCAGTTCCAAATAATTTATTGTTTATATCTTGGAACAGATAAGAAGTCATCTATGTAGGTCTGCCCACACAATCTGTATAGGGTATTTTACTATAAATTGTATTTTGACGTTATCAGTGTGTGCATTATATATGGGTATTTTCAGTTCATGCCTCTGTATCTCTTCTTAAGTGTTAATAAAAGGACATTAAAAGAGTGCCAGGAATTAGCTATGATGTCAGTAAAAAGATTGAAAGTATATTTTAGCAGCACAAAAGAATTATTTTGTTCCCAGTGCTATAGCAACCCAAGGGAGTTTGTTGGAAGACGGAATGCTAAAAAAATGTTTTTTTTACGGTAATTGTCTTGATTTCAGTCAAACGTTAAAAAAAATGGCATTTAAAGGATATGTATGAACTACAAATCACAATAGCAAATCTAATGGAATACCAAATACATGCAAGCATTCAAAAGTGATAAAGTCAGATCAAAATGACTTTAAAGTTAAACTTCACCCTTGTCTTTAAAAATGACAAAAGGGCACCTTTAGAAATATTTAGTAATGGCAATAACATTTTGAATTTCGTCCATCTCCTAATGAACCGGCCAAAAATCTCACAGTGGGTGCCGCTGTCAGCACTCTTCAGGCCAGCCTCCCTCAATCAGTTTCTTGAAGGGGCTGGTTGGAAATTTCTCAGCCGAATGGAGTCAGCAGCCACTTAGCTTCAGGCTCTGTTCTGGTATTCTGACAGCCGGCTGCCACTATCAGAATACAATGCAAACAGTGTGGGACTCCTCGGTCAACTCTCATAAGTGTTGATGGAGGAATCTGTTATATTTTCTTTATTGAGCCCGCAGGTTGAACGAAAAAAATATATGCGTTTATAACCAGCTTTACAGATAATTTCAGGCTTTTTATTTTTTGCATATTTTTTTTTTTATTTTCTGCCTCATTCTTTGCACAGTGGCCATTTACACTAAGGCCAGATGAATCCATCTCCCTTTCCTTCCCGGAACCCTGAGAGCCCATTCCCACCAGATGCGTTGGGGCTCCACTGGCCTTTTATTCGAATGCAGCCCCAACACAAGACAAGGCAATTTGCTTTGTCACGGATGGGTGGTAGGTGCTGAGAAAAGTACTGCATGCTGTACTTTTTTCAGTGCAGAGGGGTACCACACTGTGCCAATAGAACTTAATGAAATGTCACTTGTAGCATTTCAATAAAGTTCTAAAAAAAAAAGAAAGGTAAACAGTGCGATGTGACGTGATCACTGCATCAGCACTAGGTCAGGCAACGCACACCAGCAGCTGTACGATGTAGAGCAGCGGGTGGTGTGACCCGGCCCCTAGTCTGTCTCCTGGAACACGTGATAGTGCACGTCTTCTCAGCAGAAAATAGAAAATATGCCTTTACGTCAGATCTCATGACATTTTGGAGTTTACAGATGAGATTTTCCAGGAAGGCACTGGTGATGAAGCTTTCCCAGAATACATTGTGAGACAAAGGCTACATCACCAGTGATTCACTTAACCAGGAAGTGGAAAAACAGTAATTGTAAGTAAGGAGCAAAACATTTTCAAGTAATAAATACAAGATGATTTTCTATTAGCTTACAGAGCTGATGTGATTTTGAGTAGAAGGTCCACCTGAAAGTAAATACTAGATTCATAATTTAAACCGTGTTTATTGAAAATATTTGTTTACTTTTGCATGAAGCATTTGTGACTACCAAGTTTGCAGATCCATGAAAACTCAAAAGCCATTTAATAAGAGTTTAGGGCAAATGTGATATGACCTATTTTTTTATTTTTTTTCCTTTACTGTGATTCTTTTATTTTCTATGTAGAATTGTAAACCATGACAACATCAACAAATATGACTATTACACCATAAGTGATCGGGGAGCCACCCATAACTGTAATGGAGAAGTTCTATTCCTTGAGCTGGATCGATGGAAGCAAGAATATCTTTACCACAGAGCATTGAAGCAGATCCCTACCTTTGCCCTCTTCCGTAAATGGAAAACTTTTACAGTATGGAGAAAAAATGTCCGTGCCAAGAAAATTAGTGAATGTCGCAAGGCCCTGCAGGAGAATCTGTTTATTGTTAATTCAGTAGGTTTCTCAAATCAGTTTAAGCTGAGCTCCAGATATTCAAGAAACACCAATGAATGCAGTTATGTGCTGTATCTATTAAAAAAACGTAAATACCTGAATTTTACCTGATTTTGAATCCCCTTTACAGAAGCAACCAGACTGGTATATGGAAGGGCAGCATTAGAGACCAAACAGATGTGCTACATGCACATGAGCTGTCAAGGAACCTACTATTAGGAGGATAGAGCTGAGAGATAGCCTCATTAGATTGTTGCTGCTCATTCATTGTCTATTCATATGCTTGGCTCCAATGAAATATATCAAAGAGGCACTTGATCATTTGAGAACACAAAAAAACCCACAAATGTTTGATGAGCTGACTTGCACTGGTAAGGCTGCTCACGTGGAACAAGGTTCCCCAGTCCCAGAAAAGTTACTCAAAGCATATCCATATACCACAAGCGCCATATTGATAGTGAAAGAGTCCAAAATTATTTAATTATCCATAAAATGAGCAGGGATGGGACCTAGCTGTGTTTAACAGCAAAGAGAAGTCAGATCACCTGACTGGCGGTATTGTTTAGTTGCTTTGTAAATCTCAGCACCGGATGAAAAGAAATACAAATTATTTGACAGGTAAAACAGCTTTTATGTATGTATTTCAATGGTGTTATTGGCTGTTTGCCTGGAGTTCAGCTTTAATAATCTTATCCACTTATATACTGTATGTGGCTAGCTACAATAACCTCAATACATTTAGATCTGGTCTGTGTTTTAGAGTGTGCTAATCTCTCTCTCTCTCTATGATATATGACATTTTATATATTTTATTGGTATTAAAGTTATGCAAAATAAGTAGAAATCACAGTACAGCAGTGCAAGAAAACAGAGCAGGTATTTTTGTTTTACATTTCCAAAAATTCCTTTATTAAAAGATGAATCAATATTTACAAGCATAAAAGTAACGACAAGACTTCAGAAAGTATAATGCAAGATTGGGAGAAACAACACGAGCAAACATCAACCAAATCAAATAGTTGTATTTTAAATGAGCACCAAACAGAAAATATATTTGGCTAAAAACATTCTCATAACAAATCAGAGAACGAGCTCCCAGGGAGCAGCTCTGAGAGAGCAACCTAATGGAGAGCTCTAGACAGAAGTAAAGCAAAATAAAGTGGCAGATCCAAAGAGGACTACTGTCCGAAACCAAAATGAATGTGTAGCAGAGTAGAAAAGAGATATAGAAAAGGGTGTAAGAAAGAAAGAACAAAAAGAGTAAGAAATCCAAGGACAGGCCCCTCACCCTGCGAAGAACAGGAAGACCCACAAATTGGCCAGAGTAACCAATGATGAGGGGGGCATAGTGGGTCGCGAGGAAGCCCTCTGAGACAAAATCTGAGAGTATTGGTCCGAGTAGCGGAAATAGATCCAGGCGTGGAGTTAAACTTCTCCTCCGTATTTTTTAGAGACACATGTAAGATCCTACACAGTGTAGATATAATTAACTCTCGATATCCACATCTGAACCGTAGGAGGATAGGGACTTGTGGTGGTATACAAGCCCTGTCGGCATTGACCAAATGTATTGTGAGGGAAGATTTGTACTTCGTAAGGGACCTGATATGCATCTGAAGGAGACACACCTCCAGCTTGTCTCTTACGTCCACCATAGTTAATTGAGCAACAATTGCATGAACAGAGTCCCAGAACGGCTTGAGCTTTGGGCAGGACTAAAATATATTCAGGATGGTGACAGGGGCAGAATCGCATCTCCAGCACTGCGATGGAATGGAGGTATTCATTTTATAAAGCAGCCATGGAAACCTGTACCACCTCACAAAGATCTTGTAACCAGTTTCTTGATAGCTACTAGCCAAAGAAAACTTATGAGCTAAGGAAAAAATATTATCACACTGTTCTGGGGTGAATGTCTTACCAAGATCCTGTTCACATTTCCGCAAAAACGAGGGACATGAGTCAGGAGCGGAGGAGGATAGAAACTTTTAGATTGTGGAGACAGCATGGCAAGCGGGGGCAACACTTCTACACATATCTTTAAAGGTGGAACAAGGACTATCCAGTTTCAGAGGTTCATTGCACAGAGGACATGACGAAGCTGAAAGGCACTCCAGGAATCCAAAGGAGGATCAACGAGTGATTGAATATCAGAGCAAGAGAGCGATTAAGCAGTATTTCAGAAGTCTAGCAAGCGAAATTTGTCCACATCAAGAAGGCAAAGAAGACGACTGTTCTCCGACCCAGGGGCAAAATCTGGATCCCCTTAAACAGGGGTAAGTGGTGACGGAAAAAGAGACAGAGCGGGATGTTTCATGCCCTCCCGCGATTCCAGAACAGTCGCCTGGACTAAAGGATGGACCTAAACCATACAAGGGAGAGGGAAAGACAGCCAAGGGAGACCTTCAATAGCAAAAGCATACGCTTCCCATTCCATAGCAACCGTCAGTTTCACATCCATATAGAGAAGCACTAATCCAAAAGTCTAGCAAGATGAGCCGCCTTGTAGTACAAAAGAATATCCGGCAAACCTACTCCACCACTAGCTTTAGGAAGGGAAAGGGGGTGTCTGTTCAACCGTGAAGGGTGATTCGCCCACAAAAACAAGATACATTCCATATTTACCATCCAGAAAAAGTGAGAAGGAAGGTAAATAGGAATAGCCTGAAGAAGATACAGGAACCGGGTCAATTTTTAAAGCAGTACAGCGCCCAAACCAAGTAAGCGTGAGGGCCCCCCAGGATTGAAGATCCAACTTCAATTTACATAAGAGAGGGAGATTGTTTGCTGCGTATTAATCTAATGGATCCGGGGAACAGAGCAGGTATGACAAAATATCAAGAGATTTTCTAGTAAAAGTGAAAATACCGTAGACATGTGACATTACCAAGAGCAGGTTATAGTCCCTGCCATGGAAAAATAAATTGTTCCTGTCACCACTCCAGCCTACCCTCGAACATCGATAAGTCTTTTGGGAATGATGCGGAGACGGTTGGCAGAGTGACACAAACATGTTGAATTGTCTAACGCATGACCAGGATCATCTACACAGGAGCCCAAGGAGGGCCGCACTCAGCAGTCATAGCAAATATAGAAATGGATATGGCTCAACCCAATGAGATAGGAATGAATCTTAAAAAAGCTCCGGCTGTGGAATGTCCCTTGTCATCCTCACTTCTAATGGAAATCAATGGACTTGTATTGGACGTGAGGACGTCAGCGGCACTTATACTGCTGGATCCCGGGTAAAAAGAGACTGTGGGGACCGGTCTAGCAACCAGGTGGGACCGAGGATCAGCTCAGTATATCTTTTTTTTATTTTAGACCCTAGACCAAAACAAGCACTTAGACCTTGCAATGCAGGGGAAGCCCCACTGCAAGGGTTAATTTTTTTAATGCCCGGAGTTCTTCTTTAATGGGAGTAGACACATTATGGGAAAGAAAATTGGGTCAGACATGGCCCTTGGTGCGGAATAGATAGTTTCCATCCTCAGTATAAATAGAAAATAAGCCCAGTAGGGTTTAGGCAAGAAGGAGAGGGACAGACAGGAGAGGTGAGGGTAGGGAGAGAAGATGTGGTTTGCCGTAAACCGGGCCGGGCCCCCGATCCTGCCATCCAAGCGGCACAGTCAGAGCAAGAGCATTTTCCTTTACTTCAGTGTTTTTTATAAATATAACGCACCATTGTTTAAATCCCCCCTGCACACTGCACATTCAAATAAAAATAGAGTACAGATCCATGACAGCCTGGGCTCAAAGGAAGTGGGTTGAATGGTACTGTCATACTGGCATAACAGCACCTGATTAAAGGTAAGTATTGCAACAAAAGCTTTGTTTAACCTTAATAATACTGGTCTCAAACTATTAATTTCCCTCCCTCCATGTAATAGCTATAAATAGAGGAAGACCTATTTGTAGCCTGGGTGACAACTAGGCTCCCTGCACAGTTCCATTGGAGTCAGTGTAGCCACATGGAAAAGCAAGTGCATTATTCGCAGGAATATGAGCTGAATCACTATGTTAAAATGCATATTTTGTTATTTCCTTACAGTTTTTGCGGCCTGCCCTCCTCAATATCCAAGAAATGTGCTATCGAATTAGTGACATGGGCCTGTGTCGTATTGAGAAAGGTTATACATATACATTGAAAGAATTTGCAGACAACCAGTTTAAACAGCTTCAAGAGGTATAGTACAATTTATATAACATTCCGTAAGAGACAGGCACTTGATAGAAGAGTTTGTATGCGTAATCATTAATGAGCTGCTTTAAACTTAATTGGTTAGTCAGTGTCAACCATCCTTGTGATCAGTACACATTCTTGGCTAGTTATATTGCAGAGTTGATAATGCATGATTGCTATTACACTGATCCAGGTAAAACTGCCTTAAACTTCAAAGGGTGGATGTTTGTGCAGGCACAATCTCTAAAGGGTGTGCTGTTGGCAGAGAGTTGAAGAGAACTCCATAAGTATATAAAATCTGCTCAGCTCAGCCAAGCTTACAAGTGACTGCAATGGATGAGGAGTAGAGTGGAATGGGATCTGGTGCTCTGCTGTCAGCAGGGAAGCAATATTGATTTGGAAAGGTTTCTAATCTGCTGATCAACTATTCCTCTGACGGTGAACTGACAGCTATCTCGAAGGCTATTCACAGACATGAGATCTTTGCAATTTTTTTCTCCTGTCTCTGGGTACTTTAAAGGTGGCCATACAGTGTGCGATTTTCATAAAACATTTCTGGCATAAACCCCCATTCGTTTATACCTAGACTTCCCCCATCAGGCAATTTGATTTCGGAAATTGTTCGTTAGCCATACTAAGCAATCAATTTTTAATGAACTACAGAAATCATTTCCTTTTGTGCATGTGCTGTGTTCTTGCAGAGATTTTTGATGAATGAAAACCCCACAGATGCATTGATTTTCGTTCGGTCAAAAAAATAGTTTAGAACCTGACTGAACAAGAAATTTCGATCACAATATCAAAAACTTAAAGGAGAACAATGGGCAGAATGAAATGCACTTATTCCCACTGCAGATCTTACACGCCGGCACTGTAGCTTGAGAACTGAGCGATTACAAACAGTCACCACTCCCCGCAGGGGTTCCCTCTTCCCCTTCCTTTATTCCTCCAGTGCTCATTGGAGGGACAAATAGGGGAGGAGGCGGGCACAGCTGGCGGGGACAGGCACAGCTAGAGAGAGGCAGAGCCAGCTGTCAATCAGGCAGCGGGGTGGATCCCTACAATATTGTCAGGATTGTTCCCAGCTGTCAGAATACCTGAAATATGCCTGCAGCTGGCAGGACCGTTTAGCTGACGTTTTTCCGACATGTTTCTTCGTCAAAAGTTCATCTAGTAGTAAACCAGTTTTTTGAGATCCTGAACCCTGACTCACACCCACCACCTGCTGGCGATAAAAAGATAAGGCCTCATTCACACTGCTTAGAGTCTGACCATACAGATCCGTGCGGCGTGCACGGCCGTATCGGCCTGTTCCCGGGAAGGACAAGTGACGCGTGTGATTGTGCGCTGCATCCTGTTCTTCCCCATGGGAGGACGCCGCCGTACGTCGCCTTACGCTCACCCGAACTGCACATCCATCCTGTCTGCGTACAGGTACAAACACCCACACTGATGTGCAGCTCGGTTGAGCATACGGCCGCGTCCTCCCATAGAGAAGAGCAGGCTGCTGTGTACAATCACACGCAGCACCTGTCCTTACCGGGAACGGCCCGATACGGCCGTGCACGCCACACGTATCTGTACGGGCTGACTCTAAGCAGTGTGAATGAGGCCTAAATATGAAACATTTATATGTGATATTTCATATTCACATGACTAAACAGAAATACAAATCTATTTTTCTCCTGAACAAATTATATAAATAATAGAAATAACTGATATAAATAAAGAAGATATATAAAAATAAACACTATTTGTTCTCTTTAAACAAAGAGATGACTACTGGGTTGTCATGCTTTTAGATTCTCACAATAAAAGGGGAATTTTTGAACATCTGCAAATGAAGATCGAACAAAACTGGGCAGCCAGCTACAGCCAGCTAAGTCCTGCATTTGATTATACCCTTTTCTACTTTCCACTGCATCATTGCTCCACCCTTAGTCATTGGAGGGAAAAACAGCAGCAGCTTTAGTGACAGCAGTTTAACCAACATGGTGGCATTTTGTTTCCAGCCGTCACGCTGTAACTAGGAATCCTACTTTCTCAATAGGCATTGCCTTGAAAAAAAAAATGATTTCCTCACACTTGCTCTGTTCCTTATTTTGTTTTTATAATGTTTTTTCCTTGTGCATGAATAAAGAGCCTTCCCAAATTATTTGTGTAAATATTCAGATTTATGTAGATTTTTCCAGTGAATCATTAAAGGGATTTTAACGCCAAAAGGTTTTTAAGCTATTTCAATGCTGACTAAATCACTTACAATGGATGCTGTTCCTTGATGCTTAAACGTTTTAGTTTCCTGCAGCATCAGCTGGTCCCCAGAGCATGGCCCTGATATTCTGCTTTAGGGGGCTCCTTTCCATTGCAGGGTCCTGTGGAGACACCCTTGTGTGCGCTAGTAAGCTGTGCGTATCTCCACAAACACACAGGCACAGCAAGACAAGGCACTTTTTCCTCCTCCTCCTTCCTCCCTACTCCCTTCTCCAAGATAGTAGATGGACAGTTGTGGTACCATGTGATCTTGTACTGTACAGGAAGTTCAGAGAAGCTGAGCTGATAGACTTAGAACTGTTCTGAAATATGATAACTGTCAGTGCTTGGGCAAAAATTTTAAGAAATACTTTGCTGGACAAACAGGATTTTTGTTTCCTCTGGATTCATTATTGAAAAAAGGTTGAGAGTTTAATTCTACTTTAAATTACACTGATGTCAGTACACATCCTGGCTCAACAAAGATTACTGTAATCCTCCACATTTATAGCAGTGATATGTGAAGGTCTCTGGAACTCCTCTAGTCATGAATAATAATGGTCACAACCAAAGCTTAGCTTACAGAATAAGAACATGGGGGTACAGGCCCTTTGAAGCTTTAAGCTTCTTCAAGCTCCCTCTTTCTAAACTGCATTTTTTTTTTGCTGATAGAAGCACAGATACACATCACCCAAAAGTGACAGTAAATTCTACCATAACATGAATACCACAATATCAGTGAAGCCATGTTATCTGTCAACAAAACATAGTATGCACCCTGAAAAATGTATTCCTCTGTTAAAACAAAGTATATGGAAAGCAGGGATGAACAAATCCTGGTCATCAGGTTACCATGGTGACAAAAAACTCTCTGGCGACTAGGTATTTGCTAGGTACTTGCTTTATTTATACAGTTTCATTAACTGCAGTTCCACCAGCTGCTACTAGATGGCATTCATCAATCTGTCCCAAGTGTTTCTTCTTCACTGTGTCTTAGTTGTGTGATGGAGCTTCAGAGTCAGCTGTGAGAGTGAGAGAACATTTGGGTCAGTACTGTAAGATTGAGAGAACATATGACTCAGTAATGAGGGAGTACATATGGGTGAATACTGTGGTAGTGAGAGAACACATGGATCGGCACTGTAAGTGTTAGAGAACATACTGTATGTTTTCAGTACTTTGGGAGTAAGAGAACATATAGGTCAGCACTGTGGGAGTGGGAGAACATATGGATCAGTACTGTGAGAGTAAGAGAACATATGGGTCAGTACTGTGGGAGTGAGAGAACATATGGGTCAGTACTGTGGGATTTAGAGAACATATGTGTCAGTACTGTGGGAGTGAGAGAACATATGGGTCAATACTGTGTGAGTTACAGAATATAACATTAATAATACCCCATCATTGAAAGTTACTGAACTCAATAATTTGGAAAGTTGTCCACATACTTTGGCCATAGAATGTATCCAAGATCTTTGCATAGGAGCCTATTCACACCTATGGACATACAGCTTTGCATGTTCTTGACATGGTTTACTCTCTATATTTATGTGCATTTCTATTAATTTTCTATGCAATTTTTTATGAAAAATAAGGGAGAAACATTTATCAGATTACAGATATTTTTTATGGTGGAGATGCTCTAAAAATGCAGGTGTATGATACAGAATATTTTGTTCGTGTACTTATTTTAGTTGGCTACTTTTCGAAAATACCCTCATCAGTTGTGAACTAGGCACATATTAATCAATGGGATTTTTGCAAGCATTACAATGGATAGGTGTTAGCTGACCAAACTGTGTAGCTGTATATAGGATTTCAGGCACATGAGTTGCAAATACCAGCAAGCAAAACAAATGGCAAACGCACTCATCAATTTGTCACCAGCTTTACAGCGAGGTTCACATGGAAGGGCTTTACAAAGTACAGCAGCAAAAAGTTTCCCAGCACACTCACCAGCCAGCATGCAAAAAAACTTGTCTCACCGCTAAGGTTAAAAACAGAGGTCTTAGATACACGTCTTCTGCAGAAAATGTGAAATCCGCACCGCCTCACCAAGGCACCTCTATATAGTGCGGTCCTAACTCTAAACTATGAGAGTCTCCATCTTGGAGTACATTGGGCAAAAGATAAAATTGGGTGTGGGTTTGTCAGGAGGAAGCCCAACCTCCCTTAAAGGTACAGGGACACACAAGGGACCCCGCACATCACAACGGCATCTGAGACCCCCATGCGTCACTGCACCAAATCAGTCAAGCAAAACAAATGGCAAACGCACTCATCAATTTGTCACCCGCTTTACAGCGAGGTTCACATGGAAGGGCAAATACCAGCAAAACCAACAATACACATCTTGAATTTAGAAAAACTTGTATGATATATCTTTGTTATCCCTTAGGTTGCAAATCGATTGTATGAGTTCCGTGACCTTGCAAAGGAAGTGGTCAGGAGTGCTAGTCGCACAGCTTTGTTAAAAGCTGGATTTACACCGGATGACTACACCAATGATTCAGAGAATGCAGGTAAATTATGAATGCACATTCTGTATAAATGATGTGCAATATTCAATATTGATCATTATATTGTGTTCCCATTGAGAGTGATTTTATACATATTTTATAGCTTTGAAATACTTTAACAAGGAACACAGCTTTTGAATTTAGGTGTTAATATTAAAAAGTAAAATTGTTGTTAGCTTTTCATGTTAAACTAATGTGTATTTTAAGAAAACAATATTATTTACCCATAGTAAATATGTAAGTTCATATCCATTGAATGTATGCACATACAAAAATGCTTTCTTATTTATAGTGGACTTAAAGTGGACCTTCACCCTGAATATCTGATTGTTAAGGAGACTGGGGGTGGAAATTAGGGATGCACAGATACTTTTCGAGTACCAGTGCAGATACTTGACATTTTCATGAGAACTACCGGGGTTGCAGAGGTTGCAGCTGGGACCGGGCTCTGGTGCTCCTCCACTGTCCTGAAATCATTAGTCTGTATTGTTTTAGAAAAACTGTCACATGACAATAAACAAAAATATATCAGTACTCGTACTTGTAAGTACTCGGCAAGTACCAGTACTTGTACTCGCAAAACTGGTATCTGTGCATCACTTTGTGTACTGTGTGTACAGTATTTGTGCATAGCCCATGAAAAAGGTAAGAGAAGGGTAAAACATTGGGGGTGGAGAATTAAGTTCCTCTTTAAATACTAACATAATCCACAATACATTTTCTTTATGACAAACAATGGTAGTTAAAATTCACCATGGTTAGTGTTGTTAATGGCATGTTTCAATAACATTTACACATTTCTCCTGTTGTTGTTTTTTATTAATTTTTTTGCCTTTCATTACTATTCCTGACAGAGGTGAGAAGCATTTATTTTTTTCTTCTATGTGCAATATATCCTGAGATGTAGGTAGTAGTATAATTAGGTGCACAAAGCTGGTAACTGGTGGTAAGCTTGGCGGAGGAAAAAGGGGTTGGTGGCATATCCTTTGCCTTGCTTTAGATGACCCTAAGGGAAGTGTCAAGCTTAACTGCAGGCAAACCGCTAAATGCATAGATAACATAATTACATGGGAGCTATTTTATCTGCCAAAGGATTTGTATGTCTGTCCATCCAGTTCTAAGATTTACACTACCACACAGCACAGCCTTGTCTGGCAGGACAGGAGACCAGATTTTTATCTGCAGCAGTTTAGGAACACTTTCAGGTCTTTTCCTCCCCCAACTGGATGTTGAAAGAAGAAAGAACACAATGATGAGTTCATCTTTTGTCACTCTGCTTTCTCCTTTTATCTGCATGCACCTTATACTGCAGGAAAACTGACTGGACCTTTGTGCTACTTTTCTCTCCCCCAGTCTGAACTCTGCTGTACAGGGACTGTAAGAGGCTGATACCAAGTCATTTAAAAATACATCTAATGGTGTATTAACAAATACAGAACTGCATCAATTGTCAGTGTTTTAAATCTGCCTGGAGTTCAGCATTAAGTCAAATCTGCTTTATGTTATTATTAACTTTTTTTTCACTGTTTTAAGCATGTGTATGTGCGTGTGATTATGTGTGCAAGAAATAAACATGAGCACAATATTTTAACTATAAAAATGTGTTAATGTTTTGTTCCTAAAGGTATTTTAAATGGATCTCCAGTACAAGATATGTTGGGTCTGTCTCACTTTGAAGGTGACCCTTTTGGAGAATCTTCTGATAAAATGACATACACGGAACAGGCAAACAAGAGGTCTCACTGCAGAAGGCTAACATGGTCAGTTGACAAGCTAATGATAATAGTAGCAATATAGCAGATATAATGCTTTAAATGATCTAAATACTAGTAGTAAGGTAACATGAAGAAATGCATTTCAGTAAACAAAATGTGCAACAGAATATTTTTTAAACTTGTGTTTCACATGACGCTTTATTACTTAAAGTGATACTAAACTCAGGGGTTAAATCTTAAAAATGCATTCAAGTACCCTAACTATTAACAGAAATGTGCTTATTTGTGTATCACTCAGATGTAGGTCCTCAAATCGTCTCTAAATTGGTGCTGACACTGTCCTTCCTTCTGGAGGGTGGCTACTTTTGTCCCCATCGTCCCTGGTCACCGCCCCTAGCTCACTCCTGTGATGGACTTCAATCTGATTACAAATTAGTACCCTAAATGTGAGATTGTAGTCCAACATGGGAGTGATCTTGGAGTGGTGGCTCCTTTAAAAACACACACAGGGACCATGGAGAACAGAAGTAGCCACCCTCCAGGAGGAAGGACAGTGTCAGCACCAATTCAGAAATGATTTGAGGATCAACTGCCGAGTGATACACAAATAAGTTACATTTGTGTTATTAGGGTATTTGAATGCATTTTTAAGATTTAACTCCTGAGTTTATTGTCCCTGTAATGTTTTTTTAGTAGTAGTGACTTTGCTGGCACAGGCCATATGATGGTAAGGTAAAAAAAGGTACTAGTTTTCGTCTTTGACAGATGGACCTGTGGAAAGGACAGTTTTGTTTTTTAGAAAAAAGTACCTGCATGTTTTACTTCCATCACAAATCCCAAAATGAGGGGTTTATTCCTTGTTCAGTTATATTGGCTGGGTCAATGCAAATCATTCCATTATGCTGGGTCAGCTATCAATTATTATAGAACCATATGCTCTAAGCTGCAGACAAACTGTTTCAGGCCTGTTGGCCTTCTAAGTGCAGTGTATGGAAATCATTTGTTTTATAAAGTAGAGCCTGGGGAGCAATGAGACATTATAACCAAAAAGGCTACAGTATATCAGGGTGGGCTAAAAGGAACTGAAAATCCATGTACTAAGCAAGTATAAAGCACATTCTTAAAACAGAAGATCTCTGCAAGTCTCACTTTCCAAAATAAGGAGTTTATTCTTCATTTTAGGATAACCTGCCTGGGTATACTGTCTTTTTAATACATGAATTTAATACACCTGTATGAAGCTGGAATAAAATTATAACATTGAGATGTAGGTTGAGAACCAAACTGAAAACCTAATTATGCTGTGCACAAATAGAAAATGAGGTTTGCAACACCAATTGTCACATAAATAACAAAGAATAATGGCTCTAATAAGCGCTTGCAAAGTAAAAGTTACCAAAAATTATTTTGATGATGAATGTATATAATGTATATATTAACACTTTGAAACATCATTAGAGGACTAATCCAAATTTGTATTTGAGATGGAAACAGATGAATTAGTTCAATGGATTACAGTGTACGTTTGTTTTGTAAGTGATATGAGGGAATGTTATACGGTGTAGACCAGGGACCAGTGTTTGTTAAAACAAGGTTGAAAGGCCACTAGTGAAAGTTTCAAGCCTTTGATCAAAAGGGATAGAAATAATTCTGAAACCCACAAATGCTGATTGATATGTCAAGAAGAAATAGAGACACTCACAAGCTTGCAAATAAGAAGATACAGGGTGGATTATCCAAGGTGCATAGGTGTGTGTTGGAGGGCAATCAGGATGCTTGTTCAGGTTAAATGGGATTTTTTCTTATCCTTACAGTGGGTGACAAATATTGTCCTTTGAAGCATGCAGATTTAAAACATCTGTTCATGATAACTAATGTTAAAAGGTATGGAAATGTATATTATTGATAAAAGAGAGAATTTGCATGTTGCAAACTCATTCAAAAAATTCACTAAATACTATTCACACAATAAAAGTGCTTATCGTTGCTTTATTTATTTATGTATTTATTTTAATTCTCAAAGCTTTATTCGATTGACTGATTACCTGATAGTGAACACCATGCACATTCTGGCTGTTAACTCAGTGTCATCTTTGCTAAACTATCTGGTGGAAAAGATGAAATATACACCAACTCATGCAATGATAGAGACATGGAACAATAATCTCAAGCCAGTTGAAACAACAGACAAAAAGGTAATTTTAAAATTAAAAGTTGTGGGTATTGTGGTAGTTTGGGGAATATAGCCCAATGGTGAGCGCTAAGTGACCACTCCTGAAGCCGACTTGCACATAAACAGGACAGTGTTTATTCCTCTTCAACATAAATGAAACAGAACAGTTCATGCACTTCTTATAATAATCCGCTTTTCCTCAGCATATACAGTCCTCAGCACACCTCTGTGGGATACTTGCACTGCTCACCCCTCGTGAGCACTCACACTGCTCTCTCAGCAGTGTGTCCACCAGGTCCCTTGGGTCACCGACCTCTCCCAGCCTCCTCTGGCTGTTCCACGTGCGTCTACCACACACACCCGAGTCTGCTTGTGGCTGTTTGCCTCCCGCACACCCACACAGAACTGGCTTGGTCTGACCCTCGTGTGCCTCCAGCACAGACAACACCAACTCTCCCTTGAGCTCTGGTCTGGGCTCTTAATGAGGCTGCTCTCAGCCACCTGATCACTGGCAACACCTGACTTCAGGACTGGAGATTTCATCCCACCCAGAACACTAAGAAATCTCCAGAGTTCTAGATCCCAGTTACAATCTGGAAAAACCGGAAGAAACAAAAAGGCCAGCTTCTTCTGTGCAATTCTATTTATTTTCCGGAACCTCTCAGCCCCTCTGGCTAAGAGTCCTGGGTGACTGTGTTGCCAGCATACTCCGTGGCATTGCCACACAATTCCACAGTATATAAATGTAAAATTGGCTTTGTGGAGCCTGGCGATGGTGCAGTTTATGTCAGTGTCCTCCTCTTGCTACACACGTGGTCTGCAAGGGTAACGTTTTATCCCATGGATTTTATGGGTGTATCAACTATCACAATAAAACGCAAAGCGCAAGAAAATAAATCAAAGGAGACAGTATGAAACCTACTCCTTTGAATATACACTTAGTAGATATGAACACAGAGAGGCCAAGGTAACTAATCACAGTATTCATAGGACGTCTTGGGTTGACTATAGATGTGCCTCAAACTGGAGACAACTCTTTACAAGCTTCTTCAAAGCCAAACATACTTAGGCTTATTTTAAACCTACAGCTACAAACTGCTGATGGGGGAGAGAGGTTTTGGGGACCAGAAAGTTCATTTTTAATGGTCTTAATATTTTGCATGGCTAAGCCTTACCAACATTTGAAAAATAAATGAGTTTGACATACAGAAACTTCACAGTGATTGGTCTTCAAAATGAGCTTCTTTATTGTCACAAACTGTTACTTTTTGTGCAGTTCTCATTTAATTTGTATATTTGTAAGCATATTTGACTTCACAATGTGCTTATACTCAACTAACAATGGTGATAAAAGAAATGGTGAAGGTAAAAAGATCTTTGGTGTTCACATCATTTGTGGTAAAGCCTTCAATACCCACCCCCAGTTTATCAGATGAAAGCCCTTCTTTTATGGACAGTTACTAAAAGGATAAGTCAAAAAGCTTAAAATATGGATGTAGAAAGGGATGCGACATAACCATACAGTTTATCTGTGAAATTCATAAAGAGTCTCATTAGACATTAGAAATCTTTTGCAAAGTTTGTGGAGTTGGTGACAGATTCATGTATGTGCCAGTAAGGTGTAAATGAATTGTCTAAAGCTGGCTCCTTTGAGGGATGCCAGGCATAAGGGTGCCGATAGGGGCACCCACTGTTTTGGCCAGTTCAACAAAACACTCATTCGCAATTTGCATAGTATGGCCAGCTTAAGAAGAATTTTGTTGCAGAATCTTCTCAAAGGAATAACGCAATACTTACACGTGTGACACAATTTACTTCAAGATGGAATAGGTCTTATTTAACTCCACTTTCCTTATTAAAGATATGGCCGTATTTCTTATGAATTTGTCGCAGCCATAGTGACACAATGTAAAACTGTCTTACATAAGGACTACCTGAATTTGTTGCAGGTGATGGAACTTGCAATAGAACGGTAACAAGGCTTTACTAAATTAGGTGCATCCCTTTCTAATACCACCATCATGACTCCTGAAAAGCTGCACATTTTTTATTGAATCGCAGCCTATGTGTTTGAGTCCACATAGAAAAATTTTAAAGTCTGCCAAGTGTCAGTCTTTTTTCATTTTGTTTGTTCGAGGCACAGATATTACCAGTATAACTGTTTCTTTTCAATGAATTAACTATTTACCCTGGGAGAGCAGGAAAAACCCATGATTCTTTGCTCCTATTTTTTTATTCAAAGCTGAACTCTAGGCAGATAAAATAGACACAAATGTCCAGCTTTGTAATCATTCATACATCATTAATTGTATTTATTAAATGCAAGTGATGTAATTACCTGGACTTGACCTGGTGTCAGCACCTTGCAGCCCCTGTACAGCAGGGACTGGAGTGTGAAGTGAAGAAGCAGTGAAAGGAGCCAATCTGTTCATGTGCTGACAAGAAGCATGCTGATAGGAAGGGAAACCAGAGTGATAGAGAGGTGAGCTCAGTACTGTGATGCTTTTCATCTCATTGTGCAGTCACATGCTGGTGTAGATCCAGAATGACCTGGACTTAGAGAAAGATACTGGCTATTAGAATGAGGACAGCTATTAGCAGGCAAAATGTCTGGCTTGAAGGTGAATATTGCAGTGAAGGGTGGTTTTGTCATGTTATCGTTGAATGGGCTTTTCAATTATTACCGTACGTGTATTTTTTATTTGCTGGAGTTCTGCTTTCAAGCAGTGAATTAAAAGATAAAAGTAAATGCAACCTAAGCTGTTCCTGATTTCACCAGGAAGAGGTGAGAATGTTTCTTTAACCAACTACATATTGTAGTTTTAAGTAGTCTCTTTACAAATATGTCAGTGGCCCAAATGTCAGAAACCCTCCCTTTAGTACTAGACTACGATATTCAGTGATGGTAGCCAATTATTTTGTCCTGAACTTGCCAAGGCAATGTCTCTATCGCATTATACAAGCTTTAACAATGGTGACACTATCATGCGGCTGAAATCCTTGATTATGATATATTCTACTTAATGAAAAGGAGTGTGACATCATCATTCATTAGTAATGACAGTTTTCTCTGTTTAAAAAGGCTTCAGTGTTGTTCCCGCTGCCTGGTGCTACTGTGGAAGAAGAAATTGTGCCAATGTTCCTCACAGAGATCATTCTGGATACCCAGTTACTATGGTTTGAGCCTTCATTGGATGATTTCCAGGTTTGTCTCTTATTTTTTTAATACAAAATATTTTTTTCATATTAAAATCCCTATAATGTGGGAAAACTTTTGATTTGTAATTATTTTGATCTATAAAATAAAAGTGATCCATAGTACACATTTGTTTTGTTTTATTATATTGGTTTCAGTTGAAGTTTCAAGGATATAGCTACAAGTAGCCATGCATGATGTTTTCATTTTCTATTTTTCATGATATAAAACAGATACAACATTTTACAACATTTTACAACAACGGATTGTTATAGTGCCAACAGAATGAATCGTTAGCTCTTGCTAAAAGTCATTCTGTGATCCTTCCTCAACATATTTAGTTTTTGCACCACATATTTTTTTTATAGATGACTGCATACATCATGTAAGCCCCCATAGACTGTGAACTGCTCCTCAGGTTTTCTCTTTTATTGGTGTCCCATGGTTATCTATTTTTACATTATGTATCTATCTATCTATCTATCTATCTATCTATCTATCTATCTATCTATCTATGTATATATCTAT